TCATGTTGTAGGAAAAGGGAATTAGATTTCCATCAACTCAGAGATATCAGATATCACTTCGGCTATGTTTGAAATTGATCATGTTTTTATTTTTCCGGTTAAAAAAAAAAAAAAAAACGTTTTCAAAACGGCGTTTGACGCAATAAAGATAAAAATAAAAATAAAAATGATTTTTTAGTTTAGTATAAAATGATAGAGAAATGAAAAACGACTTTTAGTCATTTTTCATTTTTTATTTTCGTTTTGTCCTCTCTCGAACAGAGAGAGAGAAACATTAATGAGTTTTTTTACACTGAAAACAATATATTTGATAAAACTATTAAACGTATTTTTAAAAATAATTTCTGTTTGAGATTAAAAACGTTTTCATTTTTATTTTCATACAAAAAAATAAAATCATTTCATAACGAATTCTAAATGCACCCGAAGATATGGAGGTTGAGTCGCCTATGGCAAAGGATTAAAAGAATATGGAGTCGTCTAATAATACTTGCAAGAAGCAAAGGACGTTCTGACTCAAATCACGCAAGCAAAAGGGAAATCTGTTGAAGACGTGCTAAACATGGAACTAACTATATGCTTGTTATTAGGATTCTGTTTTGTTGATTGTAATTTTTATTTGGGTTAAATTTTTTTATGAAATTAATAAAAAAGACGTATTTTATAAATGACTCTGGTTTAAGTCAAGTAATCGTACAATACAGTACTATCATGACGGTTGGTAATTACTATAATTTCTAAAATTATCTAACATGAACTGATACAGAAGAAAAAAATAATAATAAAAATCAGTGTTATTATCTTTGAAATACATTTTTAGTGCTATAAAAAAAAAAAAGTTATCATTTCATTTAGTCATTGTTTTGACGTGGAATACTAATTGATTTAAAAAATATATGTATTGTTGGTATACTCTCTTTTTCTTTTTATGGAGTTTTATGAGAAGTAGAACCTTTAATTTATTAATTTTTTTAAGGAGAACTCCTAGTGAGAAAAACTTTCATATTCGATATTTTATACTGAGCTACTACATATTTGATAACCTAACTAAACCCAAAGAACAAATATCAACTTTAGTATTTCCAGTTTGGCTATTTTCTTTGCGGAAAGTAAATTTCTTCAGTCTAATGCAGAATAATTTATGAAAACATTCTCAGCTGAGTAAAATAATTATTAAAAAAAATCAGTGTCAAATATCGATCTATTAGAGTGAGTTTACAACACAAAAGCTACGTACAATTATATTTCACAATCAAATATATATATATATATATATATATATATGTTTGTTTGTTAGCCCAAAGGTGAATCTCTTGAGTTTCCACAAAACTCAATTTTACCTCACACGTGGGACGCATGTCAAACCTTGGTTAAACCCAAAGGCCTTGGAACTGTATTGCCTATATATATATATATATATATATATGTTTGTTTGTTAGCCCAAAGGTGAATCTCTTGAGTTTCCACAAAACTCAATTTTACCTCACACGTGGGACGCATGTCAAACCTTGGTTAAACCCAAAGGCCTTGGAACTGTATTGCCGATTCTACTGTCCTATTCAAATCCCTTTTAATGAAAATCATAAGATTCACAAAAGTATAAAAACGACAAGAAAACAGGACCTTTCGGTAGAAAAAGACATAAAAGTCGTTGTTCATCAGTCTTAAAAAGAGCAATCACGACCCGGAAAGGGTCATCACGCAAATTACGAACTTTTAGTACTTTGACATATTACCTATTAAACTTTAAATTTAATAATTAATACTGTGAATTTATAAATTATTACAATATAACCCAAATCCACATTATAGTTTAAATTAATGATGGAAATAGTAATGTGCACGGCGCACCTTAGTTTTTTTAGTACTTTATCTCCTAAAAACTTTAGTGTTTCTTAGAAAATTACAATCTAAACTTTTAAGTTTAGTAATTAGGCCATTCTTTCTCTCATTGATTAATTGGTGTTATCAATTTAGATTAAATTTTAATGGTTTTTTAAGTTCAAAGGCTAATTACTAAAATTAAAAATAAAAGAGACTATTTACTATAATATAAAAAGTTGAGAAGTTAAATTGCTAAAGTCTTATTTTTTTTTTCTTTTTTGCGCCGAAACACATTGATGATTATTGATTACAACTAATATTAAAATTGTGGCGTGACATTTTTAAACTATTTATTTTTGAGAAAACTGTGAATGTGCCCTATTAACTCACCAATTTAATTTTGTGTCAATATTCTTTTGGGTGTGTTTTTTTTTTTTTTTAAAAACTCAAATTTTTTATGTGAGAAAAACACTGTTAAAACAATTAAATTTAAATTTTCATAAAAAAACACTGTAGTAAAAAAAATGTAAGCATCACTACCTCTATGTAGAAGATATTAGGTTAACTTTTTAAGCTTCAATCGAAACATCAAAGAAAACTAAAGTATAATACTTAGCGTATCTTATTTTTTATTTTTTTTATAGTATGACACAATATGACATTTACAAGAGTGGAGTTGAAATACATTAATTTCTTTAAATAATTCTAAGCATATGAAAATTACACAGTAAATGTTATAATAATATTTTTTTGATGAAATTGTTATAATAACATTAGTGTTTTATACTTTATTTAATTAACATAATAATTTTAACTTTTACCATTCATAAAATATTTAATTTTGAAAAAGGTGGAAAAAAATGTGAGTTAGAGAGAGAGGTTTATTCTTAGAGTGTTGGTTTTGGCCGGAGTCGTCGGGTTTTTGGCCTAAAAAGTTGGTCTCCAAAATCTCGACATTGGCTTTCACGTGAAGGTAGATGCGTGTAGTATGGTGCTTTCGTTGGGGCGGATCTGACTCACCTTAAAAGCGGGTTGTGATTATTATTTTTATTAGTAGATCAAGTTGTTTGAGTTAATTTCATTGTATTTAAAGGTTATCTGCGACTTTATATTGAGTTTGTATTTTTTTTTTTTGGTAATGAAATTTTCCATTTATAAAAACAAAATTCTAATTTTTATTTTTTCTATTTTTTCCACATCAATATTATGTATTGGACATCGTCACTCGCAACGAACAGATCTCAATCTCATTTATGATTTTCACTTGTGGGACCTACTCATATACAAGAAAGTATGGAGGGAAGTCCAATATATATTGTAACGGCAGCGAATTTCCAGTTGTATCCCCATAAAAATCCCGAAATCCCACTATTGTCCTTTTTCTCAGTAAATTTTAAGCCTAAGCGTAAGTAAGGTAACGGTCACGATCCACATTTTTTTTTGCGTTCCTTCGTTACCCGCTTTACTTAATTCGCCATTTAATAAAAATTGGTACGTTATGCCGTAGACCACAAAATCCTTTTCCTTTATTTTGCCAACTAAGCTTTCAGGCTTCAGCTTTATTATTTATCTCTCTCACGTACTTTTAATCAATTTATTTATTATTTTATTCTTTTTGTAATTTTCTTGATTTTCTTCCTTATTTTAATAATTTTCCCTTGCTTCGTCGTTCGGACGCGTTCTTGAAGTTTAGAACTTAGAACTCTCTCTCTCTCTACTGAAACCGGAAAATCGTTTCATTTATTTTCTTTTCTTTTCTTTTCTTTGGCGTTTGTTTCTCGAGAAATTGAATGCCGGTCTCTCGAGTACATTTCAAACGCAATGCGGTTTTTGCGGGACAAGAAACGTGTGTCTCATCAGTGTTTCTGATTTTATTTTTGGTTTTCCTTATGGTCGCGAGAAATCCCTACCTTTTCTTTTCTTTTCGTTTTTTTTTTTTTGAATAATTTCTGCGAGCGAAGAAATTTGAAAATATAAAACGATTTTTTTTTTTGAAACGCGAAAAGAAAGCAGATTCAAAGTTGTATACGGTTTTGGATTTGTTCTTGCTGAAAAAGCAGAGAACTCGATGTTAAATCGAAATGCCGAGCATTAGAGCCCCTGCTACGAAGAAAGCAACAACTCTAACGGTATTTATATACAAATATACATACACACACATACATAGATATTTGTATTTGATTCTTTATATGTGTATTTGATATGTAGCTCTGCAATTCTACAGGTTGCCGTGAAATGCAGACCGTTAGCGGAGAAGGAACGTGGCCGCGACATTGTTCGAGTGATCGACCACAAGGTTTGTGGCGTTTTGGCGAATCATTTGTTTGTTATTGGTATAAATTTATTTAGTTGATGATGAGTATTTTGAATTTGTAGAAGGTGCTTGTTTTAGATCCCGACCTGTCAAAGGATTACCTTGAACGCATACAGAATCGAACCAAGGAGAAGAAGTACAGTTTCGATTACGCATTTGGTCCCGATTCTACAAATTTGGTACTTTAGCATTTGTCTCTAATTGCTGAATTAATTACAATTCATGAACTTGTAGTATTTGAATTAATTGTTGAAGCAACTACTCTGCTAATGTGCTGATCATATCCTTTGATTTAATAATATTTAGTTTCTAGGTTATTGGATTATCTAGAATTTGTTTGTATTTGTTGTATTATGCCATTGTTCATGTACTTCTTTGTTAATATGTAACTTTTCACTAAATGAATATCAGTTGCATTTTTGAAATTTTGGTACAAAGATTGACATGGATAGAATTGAAATGGAAGCGAGATGTTATTATGTTAACATAATTTCTAGATGGTTCACATTATTTTCAAAGGTTGAACCATTTTTTTTTAAAGTATAATGCTCTTAATACAGTGATAAGAATGTTGACCTACTAGTTTAAAGGTGGTATTAGCTCATACCACGTGCTACATATTGGGTAAATGACCAAACAAGATATAGTTTATATTTTAGGAATACTTGCATTTTGAATTTTTGTCTGATCACTAGTTTTATTTTATACACAGGATGTTTACACAAAAAGCATATCTTCTGTAATTTCTGGGGTTGTTCAAGGCCTCAATGCAACTGTCTTTGCATATGGTTCAACTGGAAGGTACTTGAGAGAAATACTCATGTTTTTAACTTTTTGATCATTAAACACGGACTGGAGCTTGATTTCTTGTGTCTCTACTTGATTTCACTATACAATTTCTTAGTCAATGGATCAATTTAAATATAGTTAAGAGAAACTTGATATTTTACAATCCTCATGCATAATGGAAAGCACGACCTCTTGCAAATATTTGTCGTTTCACTTGTAGTCATATTTTCTCCAAATCTGTCCAGTGGTAAAACCTACACAATGGCGGGGACCAAAGATGATCCAGGACTCATGGTTCTCAGTCTGCACAGAATTTTTGATCTAATCCAAAGGGAAAAGAGCTCTGATGAATTTGAAGTTACGTGTTCCTATCTTGAAGTCTATAATGAGGTATGGTGTGACTATTTTGAAAGATTGATATGTTGTCGCACTTATGTCCTTCCTTATGAAATTGTCTAATGCACAATTATTTAGGTCATCTACGATTTGCTTGAGAAGTCATCTGGCCATTTGGAATTGAGAGAGGATCCAGAACAAGGAATAACTGTGGCTGGATTAAGATGTATCAAGGTTTTGACTTTTGTCTTCTTGAATTGATATTTTAAGCAAATATTGTGATAAGATACTTATTAGTCCTTTATGTATTATGCTTTTAATTCAGGTTCACTCAGCTGATAAGATCCTTGAACTCTTAAACCTTGGAAATAGTCGAAGGAAAACTGAAAGCACAGAGGCTAATGTAACATCCTCTCGGTGAGTTGCATTTCTATGCCTGCCATAAGCAGCTTACCATGGTGCTTGTTGTCATTAGTTTGAGACCCTTAGTATTATTGGCCATTTCAGAAGAACCTTGTCTTGATTATAAACTATTTAGTATCTCAAACTTCATATTGGAGGTCATTAAATTTTCAGCTCAGTGAAACATGTGTATTTTCTTTTTAAGTTGAGTATTTAATATAGTTACACATGCAACATGTAATTCTGCTAGTACCTCTACTGGCATATGATTTGGTCATACTTCTATAGACTACTGGCTAATTCTTGTGGTAATTATGCTGGTATATGATTTCTTTAGGTAGTGTATTTGACTTTGGTGAGGCTAAATTATCAAGTAGAGATATGATCTTTTATAGAGAATCAGATATGAAGGTGTGCATTATTGCATCTGCAGTGCCAGCACTACTTCCCTAGTTTAAATTGACATAAAATGATCTTCTTATGGCTATATCATGAAACGTTTTCCATCTATAACTAGGTCACATGCAGTTTTGGAGATAATTGTAAAAAGAAAACAGAAGAACAAGTATAGGAATCAAGTAATGCGGGGAAAACTTGCGCTTGTGGATCTTGCTGGCAGTGAAAGGGCTTCTGAAACAAATAATGGAGGCCAGAAGTTAAGAGATGGAGCTAATATCAATCGTTCACTTCTAGCTTTAGCAAATTGCATTAATGCTCTTGGGAACCAGCACAAGAAGGGTCTTGCTTATGTTCCTTACCGAAATAGGTATTTAGTAATAATTTATGGTAGGCTGATGCCCTTTCTACTACTTTAGCTAATTTAAATGGTTCTGCAGCAAATTGACGCGAATTCTGAAAGATGGTTTGAGTGGTAATTCTCAAACTGTCATGGTTGCTAGTATATCTCCTGCGGACAGTCAGTATCATCACACTGTTAATACCTTGAAATATGCAGACCGAGCAAAAGAAATAAAGACGCACATCCAGGTAAGATTTGAAGAGTCGCATTGTATGATCCGAATATAGTTTTCCATTTAGATGAATTGTCTTGAATAATCAGAGAATATAGTCTTTCAAACATTGTGTCTTTAGCTCATTGTAAATCATCATTGACCTTGAATTCTGTCATGTTATTATTTCTTAGCAGTTACTCAGCCTTGGGAGGGCAATACTCATGCTATTTGACCTTTCATGCTAGTAAAAAGAGCATGATAGGATAGTTGTTTGCTAATTGTGCTTTTTATGCTGCATTTCACATTTTATTAGTTTCGAATGTATGTTCTTGTGTGTTTTTATGAGTTCTTGATTTATACAACATTGATTTTAATGCAAAATTTTCTATTTTGGTCTGTCTGTGTATCGCCATCTTAAGTTAATAATGAGCATCCTTTTGTTTTATTCACAGAAAAATATTGGTACAATTGATACCCATGTTTCAGACTACCAGAGGATGATTGACAGTCTTCAGGTCAGCATTTAAAATGGTTTTAGCGGTAGAAATTCTGGTAAGAGTTCTCTTTCTGTTGTATAAATACATTTAATTGCACAGATTGAGGTTTGCCGGTTGAAGAAAGAACTAGCTGAAAAGGAATCACAACTAAGCATCAAACCTGCTGAGAAAGCTGTTGACGATGAGCTATCTTGGTTGAATACTTTGAGCCATGAAACCAGTGAAAATGTTCAAGAAAGGATAAACTTACAGAAGGCACTGTATGAACTTGAGGAAACTAACCTTCGTAACCGTACCGAACTCCAACATCTTGATGATGCCATTGCAAAACAACAGGTAGCCCTTAAGCAGCATACATATTACATGGTAATATTGCTTGATATGTCACATGCTGTATTTTATTGGAAGATCTTGTCACTGCCTTTTCACTGTGCTAATTTAAGTTCAAATCTAGAGGAGGAGAAACTTTTTTATTTTTATTTTTCCAAAATACGTTTTTACTTTTTTTTAGTAGGGAAGCAAGGATGGGACAGGCTAGAGAAGGATACGGAAAGGGCTGATTATTTCTTGAGAACTAGTAAGGAAAGACTTCTCTTGGAATGTTATGCTGATAATGTAATGCATTTTTCTATGTCACAGGCTATTGAAAAAGATGGATCCGCTGTTGAGGCTTTGAGAGCAAGGCGGCAAGTCATTCTAGATAATATTCGTGACAATGATGAAGCTGGTGTTAACTACCAGAAGGTAAATGTTTCAGCTTGTACTCATAAGGTTATAATTTTGATGGCTATTGATCTTATTACGGACATTGTCTGTAGGAAATTGAATCCAATGAGAAGCATCGATGCCAGCTCCAAGATATGATTGAGGAGGCCATTAGTAATAATGGAAATAAAACATACTTGCGGATTCTTAGTCAATACAGGCTCTTGGTGAGCAGATACAATGCTAACCCATTTATATATCTATACGTGTCTATAATTTGCTTTTGTATTTGGATTTGTATTATGCTGCTATAAAAATTTTAAGGTTACCAATGCAGCTCTTCTTGTCAAAATAAATAGATTTTGATTTTTCATAGTTCAGCGAAATTATTTTGATTCTAAATCCCAGGAAGAATCTAGTTTTTTAAGTGTCTTCTTTGGAATTTGCATTATCCCGTTATCAGTTATGTAGATTGTATTTTCTTGATACTTGTACTTCTTGAAGAAACGACGTCTGGTATCTGCTTCAGTAATGGGTTTGAATGCAATGTCACAGACTCTGGAAGAAGCCAATTTATCGTAGGTAACATGGATATTAGATCTTATTAATCCTAATGTTGGTGTTGCAAACATACAGGGAATGGCTAATACGGAGCTTCAATTTGAAATGGCAATGAGGGATCAAGTCATCCACAACCAACGGGAAATGGTAAGAAACATGTGGGACTTGCTCATGGGGCTAGGACTCGACGAAAGACGGATATTGGACCTTGCCGCCAAGAAGGGTATAACAATAGAGGACTGGACTATGAAACCACATCTTGGTCTTTCAACAATAAAGCGGTCATCAGAATTAGCTTTTGGCAGAAGTAGTCTATCTGGATATTTCCCTGGCATGGGCCTTTCATATTCTAGGCAATCTTGTGTCTTTGAACGGTGTCAAGATTCTGGCTCAAGGTCAATGCTCAAGGAAGGTGACGAACCAACTCATGCTTTTTGTAGAGAGGAGCATCATAGTTCCTACTTTGTGGTATCTCATGATCACTCCCCTTCAGCATATATGAATACGAGGAAGAGTAGTGAGCATTGGGTTGGTGGCAGGTCAAATTTATGTTTTAGTTCTCCTGATAAACATCCTCAAGATTTGCGGAAGTCGTGTCCAGAGATGAGAATTCATTCTTCACCTTACAGTGAAAGCTGCATATCTGCTTCCGCTCTCACTGCTGCCAATTTTGGCAAGCAATATATGGTATGAATTCTACAAAACTATCTCACGGTCTTGAAGTTTTCTAGTTCAACAGAAAAATAGTGTAGGGTGGTCCAGAAATTCTCTCGCTGTGAGTCTCGATTTTATAGTTTTCGCATACCATTTTAGGTTTGAGGATATTCTTTTTGATCTCTTTGACTTCTTGCTCACAATTGCAAACAGATTCACTTGTCATGATCATCTCATCTTTTATCATGCTAGGACATATGGAAAGTGAATGTACAAGCTCTTGAATAAAAATAAAAATAAAAAAAAGAAAAGAAAAAGAATAAGAAAAAACTGTAATTGTATATTGCATCCATCTGACTTGGACATCATGGCACACAGGATGGATGGAATAGTACTTTGAGGCAAGAAATGTTCAACGGTCCGCATGCTGTCACGAGCAGTGGTCAAGGTAGAATGGTTAACCACGGAGCAACAGCTCGATGTTTGTTTGGATACAACAGGCCATTGGAGCAAGGTTCTGGAATTGTAAACTCTAGTTTCATTGTCCCAAGTACTGAATGCTCAAATCCTCCAGAATTTTCCAACATGTCTCCCTTTGCTCCCGCAACGACAGTTTCATTCGGTTCCCGCAACTCTAGCCCCAATGGTAATCCTCCGATTCCTCACGGTTTTGTATAGGCTTATCCATTCGCCGCCATTTTCTTTCCCCACTTTTCGTACCGTCTTTCGAGTTCTATTCCCCTTTCTGATTTACTCTCTAGAATGTACATAGGTGTAGTGGTAGTAGTTTCAGAGAATCTCTACTCAGCCAAAAAGCTGGAGTCTCTGCATTTGTAGGTTTACACGGCTGGTGATTTCTTTGTATAGCGAAGGAGGATGAGAAAGTTGGGTTTTTGGATAGGAGAAGGGTGTTTTGGCTTAGTCACTCAGTTGTCAACACACGGAATGTGGCTAGTTCTGTTGTTGTACATATTGTGATGATCAAAACTGTGTAGAAATGTCCTATAGTGCTCAATTTCACTGCTATGCAAGCAATTGTCAAGATTTTTTTTTTCTTTCTTTTTGTATAGTTGTTTTTCTTTCGGGATTTACCTTCTTTTATACCCGGCATTTTAGAGCTATTCAGATAGTGTGTATATATTTGATTGGTAACAATCAATAGAAACATAACGGTTAAAAACTCGTATTCTATTTGTCATTAATTACATCTCATTTAACTATATATGTTTTCTTATTTTTTGTAATGGGAATTATATATTCCAAAACATGAAAAAGACGTGTTTTTTAAGGGAAAAGCACACAAGAGATTGAGCATACATGTAACTTTTTAGTAAATCGTTTAAAGTCTGTTGAATTGATATCGAGAAACTTATAACATTAAAGAGAAAAAAAAAAAAAAAACCACAAAAAAATATAATTTGACTAAGTTGAAGGTGAAATAACGCTTTGAAGATAAACTTCCGTGTCAACATAAAATGAGCACAATACAAGCTTGCCAAAAATTAATTTGGGTGAGAGATTCGATATTTATACCTTATAATGTGCATGATTCTTTAAAATTCTTTCTGCAATTCAAATCTCATATTAAACAAAAATCCATTTCTTGAATTTTGACTTTTAGTCCTATAGTCATGTATGGAATTTCCCTTAAAACTATATGAAATTATAGTTAAATTATAATTCAAGCATTTTAAATTATCTTTAAATTATATATGCAAGTATTAAATTTAAATGCATTTCAGACTATTTTTAAGTAGTCCCCAGTTGCAAACAATCCGTATTCAAAAAATAAACAAAAAGAAAACTCTCTCCTCTCCAATCTCCTAAAGCTGCTCCATCTCTCTCTTGTATTTCGGCTAAACACTATTCCCTCCAAAACCCGCATAAATTGTTGATTGGAAAATTTAAAAAAAAAAGAAAGAGAGAGAGAGAGAAGAAAAATGTCGTCGGCGGAGCCATCGGAATCCTTCAAACCCTACTCCCTCACTCAAACCCTAACGGGCCATAAGCGCGCCATCTCCGCCGTCAAATTCTCATCCAACGGGCGCCTCCTTGCCTCCTCCTCCGCCGACAAGACCCTCCGCACCTACTCCGTATCCCTCGACGGCGCCGCCGCCGATCCCGTCTCTCCTCTCCACGAATTCCAAGGCCACGACCAAGGCGTCTCCGACCTCGCCTTCTCCTCTGACTCCCGCTTCCTCGTCTCCGCCTCCGACGACAAGACCCTACGCCTCTGGGACGTCGCCACCGGCTCCCTCATCAAGACCCTCCATGGCCACACCAACTACGTCTTCTGCGTCAACTTCAACCCTCAGTCCAACATGCTCGTCTCCGGCTCCTTCGACGAGACCGTCCGCATTTGGGACGTCAAGACCGGGAAGTGCCTCAAGGTCCTGCCTGCGCATTCCGATCCCGTCACTGCCGTCGATTTCAATCGCGACGGCTCGTTGATAGTGTCGAGCAGCTACGACGGCTTGTGTAGGATTTGGGACGCTTCGACGGGGCATTGTATGAAGACTCTAATCGATGACGAGAATCCGCCGGTTTCGTATGTCAAATTCTCCCCCAATGGGAAGTTCATTCTCGTTGGCACTTTAGATAATACTTTGGTAAGTGAGATTTCGTTTCTGTTTTGTTCTTCGTTTAAAAGGTTTGATTTTTTCGTTGAATTTTAAGTTTGCTTTTCAAGTGTTTGTTAATATGTCTGTGAATGCTCGCTTAATTCTCTGAATATTTCTGGTGAAGTAAAAAACGAATAGTCTTTGATTTCTCTGTTTTTGTAACTTGTTTGTTAAAATTTCATAACTTTATTCTCTGGTTATTTCTGAAACGTTGAATGGCTGAAACGTTGAATGGCTTTATGAAGTTCTAGTTTATCATGTCTTTGTAAATCTAGATCACAATAACAGGATTATGTTAGTAAAAATATATGACACTTGATAAAGGTTTAATGGTCTAAACTAGAACACAACAAGATTGTGTTTGATTTTTGTCTTCTGTTTTTGGTATCCAAAGCTGTGATATTTGCTAAAAGTGAATTATAGAATTGTAGTATTTCCTGGGAAAGCATTGTTATTAATACATTTCTCAAATATATATATATATATATTAAAAATTTTCTTTTCCCCTTGGTTGAAATTGATGGTTACACGTTCGTTTTCTTTATCATTCTTCTTGTTTCGTATCCAAGTCTGTTAACTTTTAGTTCATTATTTGAAGCTTCAATACTCACTGTTCTTTTTCTCCAACTCTGCTCTTTTTTCATGACTTCAAATAAGTTCTTGGGTTAAGTTGATATATTTGTTTGAAATTCTTTCATGTTATTAGCTATTTATGAATCTGGCTTCAATTTTAATTTGAAATGTAAACTGTAGATGTGATGCAGTAGGCACAGGATGGCCGATTTCTTTTTTTATCTTATTGTGTCCTGTCGCTGATCAGCGCTCCTTAGACTGACTTAAAATTGATCTTAAAGCTTATTTTCCATGGGATCTGTATGATGTAAATTTCATTTTAGCTGGTATTGTTTTGCTGATTTTGTTATTAAAATTCTTCTTTAGTATGAAAACTTTAGTTTTGGGACCCCCTCTAGTTTAGGCCAAGATTTCCATTGGAACATTTTAAAATGGATTCTGGTTTTGCTTAAGATGTTTGTGCATGAATAACGAACCGGAAGTCAAGAGCAACCGACACATATTATGCCAATTTTACATGTTCTTCTTGCTTTATTCAACGACATTACTGGAAATTGTTTCTTTTCATTCTATGTATCAAAACCAATTTGGAATTGACATTATGTGTTAACAGAGGCTATGGGACTTCTCAAAGGGGAAATTTCTGAAGACATACACCGGCCACGTTAATTCGAAATACTGCATCGCATCCACATTTTCCGTGACAAATGGGAAATATATTGTCAGTGGATCTGAAGATAATTGTGTGTACTTGTGGGAATTGCAAACCAGGAACATTCTACAGAAATTGGAAGGTCACACTGACACAGTTATATCAGTATCTTGTCACCCAACTGAGAATATGATTGCATCCGGTTCACTCGGAAACGACAAGACTGTGAAGATCTGGACTCAGGCTAAGGATTGATACATCTATCATATATGGTGCTGGCATAGATTTTGATTTGGAGAGGGGCTCTGATCTGCTACCTGGAAAAAACCCATGTTTTTGGAGAAAACTGGGTAGATGGTGAATGGCTTTCATAATTTAACTGTGTTAATTAGTTGTCTCATTGTATTATTTTTTTCACCCTTGGCAGATAAGAAGTCTGATTGTATTTGTATGTAGGAAAGGATTCTTCTTCGAGCTTTAGTCTGAACTCTCCTGTTCATATGCTAATTAATTAATTGATATTTTGGGGATCACTAGAAATTTTTGGTAGAAGGTTTTTTTTTTTTTTTTTTTTTTTTTTTTGTCTTCATTGAAGATGTGATCTAACAAAAAAAAAAAATACATGAGTATTTTAAAACAACCTGCTTTTATCCTATTTTGGTCGTTGCCGGAGCTGCATTGTCAGAGAAGTTGAAGCCGAAGATGTGAAGAAGCAGCTATAGGAGGCCTAGGCTGGGGCTAAGGTTGCCGTTGTTTAGGCAGTGATGATTTGTTGGGTACATAATTATGGGTCAGCTTCTAAAAAATGGTGCTTTTACCAAACACATGTTTTAAGAAAAACGTCCTCTACAAGCACTTTTCTTGACAGCGCAGCAACCCCAAATGGGGCCTGTGTCAATTTGGCTCCAAAACGTTAAAATGCAGTACTGAGTCCTCAGGAATTTGAAATGAGCTGTGCATTTTAAAGTTCGGAGACAAATTAAAATAATTTAAAAGTCACTTTTAAATTTATTTAGATAGATAATTTTAAAGTATTTTTAGCTTTTTAAGCACTTTTAAAATATAAAAAACTTTTTTATTTATCTTTTTAATTTTTTATTTGTGAATAATAAATTAAATATCTCATTAATATCTTTTTATTACATTATTTTTTATAATAATAAGTATTTTTGACTTTTTTACGTAAATAAGTTTAAAAGCCTTTTTTAGATATAAAATATTTTTTCAGGCATTATCTAAATACTAATTAAAAAGTTACAACTTATTTTATCTTCTTCTATTATTTAAAAGTACAAACATAAACGGTCATCACCGGGTCCATAATTTCGGAGACATTTTTAAAACTATTTTTTTTTTCTGTAAACTTTTAACTTTTAGTACACAAAATCCCAAAAATAGTTTATTTTTCCTCTTTCAGAAGAGAATAAAAATTTCAGGGAAAAATTAAAAAAGTAGAAAAAATTTTAAGTTTAATTATTGTTATTTTCAATTTTATTATTTATATTCTACATAAAATTTTAATACTATTACGATAAATAACTTGTAAGATATAAAAGATAATGCGTGCGTGTTATGAAGACTACTGTAAGTAAATAACCTAGAAATTATGAGTGGCATAAGACAATTTTAATAACAGTTGTAAAAATAAATAGTATTACTTGTTAGAAAAATAAAATAATATTATTTTATTGATGATATTTTTTAAAATTCTCTAAAATAGAACATCCTCATTATTATGGTCCCCATTTGTTCCTTATCTCTTCCATTGCTCGGCCTCCCAACCTTTCCCTCCCGTTTTCTGATCTTTTTTTTTTTTTTTTTTTTTTTCAAAAACCAACACCAACAAATTTTTAAAAAAGATAAATGTAAATAAAAAAAAACCCATTTGTTTAGCATGCAAATTTTCTTGTGCGTTTCTTTACAGTTTTTGCTGTTTTGATCATTTTTTGTGGCCGCCATAGTTACGATTTGTGGATTAATTTGTCAACAATCTACATGCTCATCATCTTTCGTACCTCTTGGCTATGTCATGTTTCCATCTTGAAGACTTCACGCCCTTGTTCTCTTTATAGACGAATCCTAACTGCGGCTCGCCAGCTGTTCGATGAAAGTCCTCAAAGGGACGAGGCTCATCATTTTGGTCCAGAATTTGAAGTTTCTTCTGTTCATAGCTCGCCGCGTAATGGGATTGAGAAAGAATGGAAAAATGGCTATGATAGAGAACCGGTTAAGCATGGGAGTGTTAATGAAACATTGGAGTCCTTTTGTCGGCTGAACAGACTAGGAAAGAAGCCCACAAAGTACTTGCTATGCACGGCGCTGAATGCTTGTGCGAAGACCTTCAATTTCCGCTTGGGTTTGCAGTTTCATGCTGGCATTGTTCATATGGGACATGAAGACAATTTGATCTTGAACAGCGCGCTCGTGGATTTGTATGCGAAGTGCAATGCCATTGTGGATGCAAGAAGGGTGTTTTATGGCATGGAACGGCATGATCAAGTTTCGTGGACGTCAATTATATGTGGGTTTTCGAAGAAAGGGCATCAAAGAGAAGCTATACTGATGTTGAAAGAGATGCTTAGTACCGAAATTAAACCGAATAGTTTTACATATGTTGGTGTTATAAGTGCATGTTCTGAGATAAAAGACGGGCTTGAACAAGGTTTATTGCTCCATGCTCATGTTATCAAACTCGGTTTTGGTGGCAACAATTTTGTGGTCAGCTCTTTGATTGATTGTTATTCGAAATGGGGCGAAATAGATCAAGCTGCATTGGTGTTTGGCGAGACAACAGAGAGGGACATTATACTACTCAGTTCTATGATTTCAGGGTATTCACAGAACTTATATGGAGAGGAGGCTCTGAGATTATTTGCAGAGATGAGGAATATGAATTTGAGTCCAAATGAGCATGCTTTAACTAGCGTTTTAAATGCTTGTGGGAACCTCACAGTACTCCAAGAAGGAAGCAAAGTGCACTCTCTGGTCACAAAAATGGGTTCAGAAAGCAATGTTTTTGTGGCCAGTACTTTGATAGATATGTATTCAAAATGTGGTTGCATTGATGAAGCTCGCTGCGTATTTGATCAGACAGTTGAAAAGAATACAATAATGTGGACTTCAATGATCACGGGTTACGCTCAGAGCGGTAGGGGATCAGAAGCATTGGAGCTTTTCGACCATTTGGCGGCTGAAGAATGCTTCAAGCCAGACCATGTTTGCTTTACTGCTGTTTTGACTGCCTGCAACCATGTTGGATTCCTTGAAGGAGGAATAAACTATTTCAATAAAATGATCAATGATTACGGGCTTATTCCCGAGATAGATCAATATGCTTGCTTGGTCGACCTTTATGCAAGAAATGGGCATCTGAGAGAGGCAAAGGAGTTAATGGAGGAAATGCCTTGTAGTGCAAGTTATGTAATGTGGAGTTCCTTCTTGGGTTTTTGCAAGGAGCACGGTGAAGTAGAACTTGGGAGAGAGGCTGCTGAACATCTCATCAAGATGGAGCCGCGTAACGCCGCCCCTTTCATAACATTAGCGCACATTTATGCAAGAGCTGGTTTGTGGTCTGAAGTAGCCGAGGTTAGGAATTTGATGCAACGAAAGACGATAAAGAAGAAAAGCGTTGGATGCAGTCGGTGGTTTAAAGGAATTTGAAAGAGATTAGAGATTAAAGAGAATGTAAATTATTTGGTAAATTCCTATCAAAGTAGCTCTTGCAACTGGAATCCTACTCTTTTAGAAAATCCTTTTTTTAATTTTCCTTCATCATTTGAGATATTTAGCGAAAATGCTGAGATATAATTTTATTATTTTCAGCGGAATTGTTTTTCAAAAACCAGATCTCCAGTCCTATTTTCCTATCAACTTCTCTGTTAGACCACTACATGGAGTATAAAGTTTATGTACTTATTATTTATTTAGAATTTGTTTAGTTCGCTGATTCTGAGTTGAGATGCGATTTTATGTGAGAGTTTTTTACTGTAGTAAAAAAGTTAGATGTGACTGTTTATGAGAGTTTTTTACTGTAGCAAAACTCGAATTTTAAACTTAAATCGGTAAAATAAACGGAGTATTAGTTGTTTTTTATAGTTCAATTTGTCTATTTGAACAGGGAATTCCATAGGCGGATTTGACAGAAATTCCATTACTGTTCTTGCTACAGTGTTAAGGCCTAAATAAATGTCATTATTTTATCGTTCTTATGCTCAATATCTATACATATTACAGGTATGATTTCATGGATTGGCACTGGGTCGGACATCAATTTTCTGAAAGTGAGGGACCACAAAAGTAAATCAAACTGGGATCTTTTGGCAAATTACACAAAATGAAGTTCATATTTCTTGGCAGAAGGGTAAGTGATAGAGTCAGTTATAGGTAATTATTACTCAGTTTAGAGATAACCAGTTGACGACAAGATGGTCAAATTAAAAACGTTGCTCTTTGGCTTAATATGGGAGAGAGGGAATCTTCTTATCTGAAGATTCATTTATCCCTAGAAAAACCGTTTTCCCAAGAGGATAGATTACAAGATAACATATCTGAATGATGAGAAAATAAACATGTGCAGATGTGTTGAAAATCGTCCATGGTATTAGAAAAAAAAAGGAGAAAAACAGTGCCATTACCTAGAACTATATGGAAAAAAAAAAAAAAAAAAACTATAACAATTCTCTGAACTATGTACTCTAATTCAACTTTCTCTCAAACAAACTTTGTAAAGCGTTCATTTCTTTTTATCCTCTAATTAGGAAAATTTTTCCGAACATCTATTCTATTTATGATACTAAAAAAAAAATATGACCCGACACTAATTATAATTTTATAAATGCCTTTTAAAATATAGATTTTAAATAAACTTTTCTACGGAACTAGACGTTTTATGTATTTCTTAAATTACATTAATTTATAAGTTTTTTTAAATGATTTTATATAAATTATTATTATTATTATTTTTTGTTTACTCTTTGTTGAACTAGAGTACTTAGTTTAAATGGCATTTTTAAAATTAATCTTTTGACCAAAGCATGTACAAGTTTGGCCCACGGTTGGATACAAAGTCAAGTGATTATGACATACTCATGAATATGATTCACGATTGCAAAATGAAATATATGTTTTACAAAACTCAAGCTGTTATCATTGTTGATGGTCGTTTTTTGCAAGGCTTGTACAAGGGTCTAAGTTCAATAATTTTGTATCGTGACACTGTTGGACTCGCTTCGTGGATCCAAGTCACGCTTGGAAAACTCATATGGGCCGCGATTTGGTGGGTCATGGGCAATTGAACGGGCCCATTTGTTTTTTAGTCTGATTCGATTTTAAGTCCTGCTTAGGGGGTTTTAAAATAATTGAGTTAAGGAATAAATGGTTGATGGAGAATCCAACCCCTAAAAGCCTTTGTTTACCTTTTAGGAGTCTTAGAGATCCTTTCCTCAGCCTTTGAAGACTCGAAATTCCATAATTTAAGTTGTGGAACCTTCCCTTTCGGCGCCAAACGAGAAGTTTTTTTGCTTTGGAGCTCGCAAGGATTCGTCTCCGTGGCAGTTGTTGCTCCAGAGGCGTCACTATGGATGCCTTCACAGAGGCGTCCCTACATATGCCTTCACAAAGATGCTTCCCATGCTCCAAGAGACTCCTCTGTGACCAAAGATACCTCCTATGCATTGAGAGACTCCTCTATGTCCGAAGGTTCTTCTCGTGCTCTATGGATGTTGAATGTGTTAGGTGCTCCAGCGACGGCTATTTAGCCAAAAACGGATGGCGGCGCTCTGGAGCTAGTCTGACGTGTGTTCTGACCTCCGAGAATAGAAGTGTCCACGGAGCACTAGATTTAGTCAAACACTCCATGATCTCTAGACCTGAGGAAGGTCTAATATTAGCGAGAATTCCGGATTTGGTCTCCAAATACACCCATTTTCGACCAATTTGTTTGTCAAAGAGGAAAGCCACCTGATGCAGTTGCTCCAGAAAGAAATAGTTCGTACAAGCCTCTATTAGGGATTGATTGTACTGCTCCGGAGTAACCGTAAAAATCTTTCAAACTTCTCCTATAAATACCCAACACTAATTATACTTTTATAAATACCCTTCAAAATATAGATTTTAAATAAACTTGTCCACCGAACTATACGTTTCTTGAATTACATTAATTTATAGGTTGTTTTAAATGATTTTATATAACTTATTATTATTATTGTTAACTCTATGTCGAACTAGAATTCTTAGTTTAAATGGCATTTTTAAAATTAATTTTTTGACCAAAGCATGCACAAGTTTGGCCCACGGTTGGATACAAAGTCAAGTAATTATGACATACTCATGATTCACGGTGTTTTTGCAAAATGAAATATATGTTTCACAAAACTCAAGCTGTTATTATTGTTTATGGTCGTTTTTTACGAGGCTCGTACAAGGGTCCAAGCCTAATAATTATATATCGTGATACTGTTGAGCTCGCTTCGTAGATCCAAGCCACGTTTGAAGAACTCATATGAGCCGTGGTTTCGTGGGCCATAGGTAATTGAATGGATCCATTTATTTCTTAGTTCGATCTGATTTTAAGTCATGTTTTGGGGGTTTTAAAATAATTGGGTTAAGGAATGAATGAGTGATGGAGAATCCAACCCCTAAAAGCCTTTGTTTACCTTTTAGGAGCCTTAGAAATCCTTTCCTCAGCCTTTGAAGACTCAAAAGTTCAGATGTTAAGTCGTGGAACCTTCCCTTCCGGCGCCAGATGAGAAGTTTTTTTGCTCTAGAGCTGGCAATGATTCGTTTCTGTGGCAGTTGTTGCTCTGGAGGAGGTACTATGGATGCCTTCACAGAGGCGTCACTGCAGATGCCTTCACAAAAATGCTTCCCATGCTCCAAGGGACTCCTCTGTGACCGAAGATACCTCCCATGCACTGAGAGACTCCTCTGTGTCCGAAGGTTCTTCTCGTGCTCTATGAAGGTTGAATGTGTCAGGTGCTCCAGCGACGGCTGTTTAGCCAAAAACAGATGGTGGCGCTCTCGAGTTGGTCTAACGTGTGTTCAGACCTCCGAAAATAGAAGTTTCCACGGAGCACTAGATTTAGTCAACCACTCCATGATCTCTAGACCTGGGGAAGGTCTAATGTTAGCGCGAATTCCAGATTTGGTCTCCAAATACACCCATTTTCGACCAATTTGTTTGTCAAAGAGGAAAGCCACTTGATGCAGTTGCTCCGGAAGGAAATAGTTTGTACAAGTCTTTATCAAGGCGTGATTGTACGACTCCAGAGCAACCACCAAAATCTTTCAAACTTCTCCTATAAATACCCTCTTCATCAACACTTCAAAAAAAAAAAAAAAATAGTTAGACCATTCTTATACTTGATCATTTGAAAAGATATCTTCCTTACTAAAATTATGAGTGATCTTCCTTTGAGAGAAAGCCTTTTATGTTAAAGGCTATGTGTTCTTCGAGCTTGTGCTCTTCGGGCTCGAAGATCCTCGAAATACTTAGCGAAACTCTGCCCAGATCTTGAGTGTTCATCCTAAAAAAGTCTCAAAACACTTTGTTTGGTCAATCCAAACTCATCTACAAGCTACATTTGAAGTTTTTGAGGTTTCTTCGGAGGTCTGAAAAATTTGCCTTTGTGGCCAGACTCCGCTGTTCCGGAGCACACTTTCGGAAAGTCATAAAACTTTGTCTGCCGACGTCTACTCTCGGAGCAACATGTGTTCCTCTGAAGTGGACTTTGCCTCATTTGTTGAAAGTCTGTAAAGCTTGCTCATGAGCGACCTGTGTTCCTCCGAAGAAGAAATTCATACCAACTCTTCCAAATAGCATTATCCATACCTTACGAGTCAGACATCCGCTCCGGAGGCAATTGCACTTGTTCTCAGAGCATTTCTCCAAATAAGCCTTATCCACACTCTCCGAGTCAAATCTCTGTCAACCGTTCAGTTACTCCTCCCACCATACTTCGTCCATGCGATCTCCATAACTGTATTCAAAGTCCTCCCATGCGTAAGTTGGTGTCTTGGTAAGGTGGCGACAAAGTAGGCCATAGAATTCATTTTCTTTGGCTTACTTTGGGCCTAACCGATCAATTCTTCTCTGTTGGAGGTCCTACCATACAAATTTCTCTGTGAATGCCTCGTGTTTCTTCCGCGTCAGTATCGACACCACTGAATCCGGTACTTACACGTGCATACTTTGTACATGTCGTACCCACCGAATCTATCAGACCCGAACAATTATCATAGCACTTGTTCCACTAGACAAAAGTGCAAATTACTATGATGATCTTGTCTTACAATTTCGTTAAAAAGAAAGCTGGCTACATTGCTCATTGATAGAAGAAAGAAGATCCTAATATCCGGACAAATCTCAACAACCTCATGCACAAACAAAGAACATGGTACTATGCTCACCAGAGAGAAGCCCATTTCTCATATAACAATGTTATAAGGTACGGGTGGTGTTGAGCAGCTCTATCAATGAGTAGGAGATGATTCTTGCAAAATGAGGTCCAAAAATGAGACTCCACACGATCTTTCCAACCTCTACGATCATGCAAGTCGAGGTAACCAACTTATCAGTTGACCCAACTCTATAAATAGAACAAGAGTTCCCTTTATAAGGTTCTCACCCTCAATCTCCATACTGGCACACAATCAAAATACACTCTAAAGCTTAACCATAATTGCTTTGCTATCATTAAAAACACAGTACAACTATTTGGGATCTTTTTTTTATTTTTTTATTTTTTGAGTAAACTATTTGGCTTTAAATATGTATTAGATAATTTCAATTTAATATATTATTTTCTTTTATTACTGTTTTTAGTATATACGTAATATCTTAGTCTATTGTTATTAATCTAATATCATCTCATCTACTAAAATAACCTTAAAGTAAATATCATAATATCTCTAGTATTATACCAAATTAAATCTAACATCATACTTAACTAAATAACCGCATAACCAGAATCAATGCAAAACCAAATTAAATTACTTAACATAACACAATCTAGTTACTTATATGTATATCATATTCATATAACCTATTTAAGCACCCGAAAAATTTCTTAAAAACCAAAAAGCAAAAGCCAAAGTCCTTTCTACATACCAAAATCCATTGCTAAATCAAATGCCCTCACATAATCATCCATTTATGCAGCAAAATAAAAAGAAATCCTAAAACAAATAAAAATCGAATCTCATAACCAAATTCCGACACATATATATAACCAAATACATTATACAAATCATAGCACATATATGACTGAACATACGAACACTACAAAATTACATAATCATTAATCTGAGTTCACGCAGCCCCCTAGCAAAATCAGCTAAAAAAATTGTAATCAACAATGCCTAGTAAAATAAACTAGAAAAACGTCACACCAAAATACCATAAAGCATCAACATAC